TGGCATGACGGTGTAAGAGAGGGAGTTGTACAGTCTGTGTCATGCGTTCTGTTTCATGTGCGTTAATTACAGTCGTCCTCAAATATATTCATTTCGCATTAAAGAGGGAAAAAACATCAGTCACTGAAATAAGCTGAAATTGACAAAAGTAAAAATAAATAAGAATTTAATGAAAATTGTGACTTTGCTTTTGAATTGTGGTTCATCAGAAATATTAAAAATAAAAAATAAAAAAAAACAAGCAAACTAGCATGATGGGACCCATAAGATAATATTTTGTTGAACAACCCTTTGAGCCAATCACTGCAATCAAGTGTTTTCTGTAACTCTCAGTCAGACTTCTGCATCTGTTGACAGGTGTTTGGATTTCACTGCTCATCAGCAAAGTGCTCTAATTTGTCTGGGACAGTTTTTTATTTTTATTTTTTTTTATTATTCTTTTCAACCACAATTCAAAAGCCATGTCTTATTTCACTAAATTGTAATTTAGCAATTTTTTTTATTTATTATTACTTTTTTCAGTTTCTAGTTCTTTGAGTCACTATTATGAATTTTGCCTTTTATTTAATGGAACGGCATGGATAAATTTGAGGACGACTGTATGTCAGAACAGTAGTTTTATTCCGGAAATGAGAGGTGGAGTGTGAGTGGACTTAAGCTGGGCCATGCAAATGACAATACCTACCTGTCCCGCAAAGTTTTTAAAATTATGTATGACTTTAAGCTTTAATACAATTTAAATAAGTCACTTTTTTGACAATTCATCCTCTTTATTGAATTTCCCTTCTGGGATGAATAAAGTATTTTTCATTTCATTACCGTCGTCATGAAGAGTAAAATTAGCTTTAGAGACCAACACTTTATTTTGTACCAGGCTGTAAACGTGTTTATATCAGCTGCAAACTTTGGTGTTTTAACATGAGGGTCTATGGGGATCGACTCGCTTGTGGAGGCAGCCTCAAGTGGCCATTTGAGGAACTGCAGTTTTTATGGCACATCTGCATTGG